AACTATTGAATAAAGAGACACCATACAGAGATGTACAGCTGCTTTACATACTGTATTGGAAGTGGCTGATGATAGGTTTTAATTTTTTTTCAGTTGAGAAGAATCACACTTTAGACTCCATGTTGTATAAGTGTAATTCACAGTTCATATTGTAAATTTTCTGCAATATCGGGCAAATTAATTTTAGCCTGAAGTTGAATAGATCCCTAGTTAGGTTCTCCTTAGAGTCAGTTACAACAAATTAATCAGTTTTCTATTTCTGGTGAACTCTTTTCTTCCCTTTAGCCTTCTTGATAATCCGGTTTGTCAAGCACATGTTCTTTTTGTGTTTCAGAAGTAGTTATCCTTCACCTTGCCTAGCCTTGCTACCTTTCAGGTGAACTGATACAAGTTTTCTTGTACAACAGGTTCAGCATTACTGAACTCAAATAATAATTTTAGCACTGGGTCAAAAAATTGGCATTATTTCCTAGAGACATTTCTCACCTGAGTGCTGACTGCATTGACTTGACTTTGGCAACATTGTCCTGTGTTTATTTAATCTCATGAAGCCAACTCTGCTTTTAGAGTTGTGTTATAGATATAAATGTTACTAAATATGAAGCTTGATGGACTAGCTGAATATTTTCATTTCTTTATGTTCTCTGTTTTTAGGTTTTTCTAATTAATTAATTGTGCTCATATGATCTGGATTGTTTTTTACTTAAACATAATAAAAACTATGATACTTATTTTAAGAGGAGCATTTTTCAGTTTTATTCAAAGTATTGAAACTAGTTTAAATTAAACCAAATAAATTGCTCAAGCCAGAACATAAGTGCCTGAACAGTCTTTTGATCTATGTTGAAAATACATATGTCTAATGCAGTCTGAGGACCAAACCTGTGAGCTGAATATTCAGGTTTGGGAAAGCTCAATAGAAGTGCATGTGAAAGCTATTAAGTATAAAATTTTCAAAAGTGCTAGTAAGTGTATGTTCTGCTGACTGAGGACGCCAATTAAATTCAGACACCAGAGTGAAAAGAGTAGGCTTATTTTACTGTGATAATTAAAGGGTATAACTAAGTACTACAAAAAATTAAGCAGTAAGAAAAATATAGAACAGTACACTTAACTATTACTACATACAGTTAAGCAAGGCAATACACCTAATCATTACTACATGACAGGGAGAACAGTGGTTAAGAAAGACACCTCACCACTTGCACACGTTACCATCATCCAGATCTGCTGGGGAGACCCAGTTACAGCAAGGATTTGCAGAGGCTTTCCCTCCAAGTGGGAAGTCCTATGCAGTGCATTCACCCATAGGTGAAGCTTCCAAAGTCATAGCAAGTGGGTCCAGCCTTATATACCAAAAATCACCAAGCCGGAATAACTTACACCTTTGTTTTGAGCAGAAACATCTGTTTTCATCATCCTGTTGGATTCCACAGAAAGCCTGGCTGGGGCTCAGGGCGGGGAGGGGAGAACAAAGGGAATTTCTAACAAGACAAACACTAAGCAAGGGCAGTTGGATACACATTCTCACAGCTTTTCATCCTCACTACTAACTACATTATTCAGGCCCTAGCATTACAGTGTTAGACAAACAATGGTCCTTCACATGTTGGGAGGAGACTAACCTCCCTAAGGCTTACCTTTTCTTTATATAAGAGTTAGATTGGAACTAAGTACTAGTGTGAGGGACCACTATTATCCAACTGAGTATATTGTGATAAAACATGCTAAAAGATTTGCAAGGATTATTTTATCGTTGAGATCTTCTATAAAATTAAAGACAGAATTACTCAACACCAGGCCTTTATTTTAGTACTGTTTCTCAGTCATGCAATGACATATGAATCCTATCTTTTAACAAAATTTAATCTAGCATAATTTTTACACTTTTTCTCTCATACAGACTTTACTGTAATGACAAAATCAATGTGTAATTTCAGTATTTTTCAAGGAAAAATGTGAGATACTAACCTGTTTCCAATTTAGTAAAAGCAGTTACATATACCATAAAGAAAATGTTAGCTCTACACCACAATGTAGGAAATACTGTCATGCTTGTGTAATTGCATAGCAACTTGATGCAGACTTGAGTCACTTTTGAGGAGACATTGACCCAGTGGCTCAAATGTATTTTTAGAATAACATCAGTGTTTTAATGGATGTAGTTTTAAATCTACCATGCTAATAAACACAAAGGGCAAATTTATGCTTGGCTATCTCCCTTGGCAATGTTGGCACTAAACTAGGGAGTAATTTTCCCTATTACATTTAACAACATGTTTCAGATTTAAAAGCCATGGAGTCATTAAAATATGACTCCATCAATTAGAAAGTAATTGCGGTATGCCTTTCTAGTGCTGAGGGATTAACTCATTCTCAGTGCGGTTAACAAAAGCAGTTAGCTACTTGCCTTAAATATGAGTTAAATCTGTAAAACATAATGACTTCATGGAGAACAGGATTGGCCCCATGGCACATGCCCATGTGGCTGTTGACTTCACTGAGTTCAGTGGGAATCTTGAACAGAAGGGCAACAGGATCAAGCCCCTAGGGACTGTTCCTGTAGGTGTTCCACACTTCAAATTCACACACAAGTTTTGTATCTTTTTAAAGATCATGAAAAAGAATATCAAACTGTATCCAGCTTCAGTCCTCTCTGTGTTGATACCAGCACTTGCTTTAGGGCAACTTCATAAAGAAGAGATGGGAAGAAGCTGAAGCATAATGGTTTAATTTTGTCAGTACTGTCACCAGTAATGATTATCAGAAAAATCGAACTTTGCATACTAGATATTAGACAAAAATCAGCAATGGAGCTGATTGAGAAATTCTTGCTCCACAGTTGGCAGTTACTATCCTGTTAGCTGGTAACCATCATAGTTTCCAACCTAATTCACTGCAGTGAAGAGAAACATCAGTTGTCTTAATTCATTGCAGAATACTTAACCATTATAAACTGATGGTGTCGTGAAGGCCTTCTGGGATTTTACCACTGAATTCGGAAGTATTTGAAGAATTACAGGGAAAGCAAGCACCTATATTATACAGTGCTTAGTTCAGACTGTCCCTCAATTTGGGTAACATGGTAGCCCTGCTAGGGTATGACACTGAGTGCCACTGAACTCTACCAAAAAGGCTTGTCTTTCTGGAGTAAAAAGCCCCTAAGCTTTAACATATTTTTAATAAGGTTTTAAGGTAAAGCATATTAGTGCATTGTAAAGAGATCTGTGATTTGTTGTGGCAAATCCTCCTTTAATTGCCAGGAAGGAGCCTGTAGCAGTGATTGCATGTCTCGCTGTAGTTAGAAAATGAGAGGAACGAAAGGGTTAAAGCTGATGGTGAGAAAAGGCCTCCTTGGGGCGTTGGAGGGGAGGGGAAGTGAGAACTGCTGTGTCTGGGAGTTTGCTTTTTCTTTTGTTGGTAGCAAGTTTACTATCTGTTAAAGGTCTACTGAAAATACCACTTCCCCCTCCTCCTCTACCATATCCTCGAGATCTGCATAAAGTAAAAAAATCAAGTAATTTGCCTTGTGTGTGTGTGATGTTTCACAGCCTGTGAGCCATGCAGCCCCAGTCCTGGCCCCACAGATTGGTGGTTGCTGCAGGACTGTGGTGGCTGGTGTCTCCCTGGCACTGCCATCCACCCTACACACAGCCCTCCTTGGAGGGTGACAGCTGCTCCCTGGTTAAGAGCTTGGGGCAGGGATCTCACAGGTCTGACCATGCAGGGTTTACTGTGCACCTCTTTCCTTCAGGGACGCTTGATAGGTTTGATCTGGGGCCTTCCCACCCAAGATGCAGCAAGGCTGAAGTGTGGCAGGGTGAGAAGCCACCGAGTGGTGGAGCAGCCAGTACAGGCTCCTGCTAGGGCTTTTCCCTTTTAGGGTTGAAAGCCCCTTTCCTTTCAGCCCTTGCAACAACATCCCTTAGTACCTTTGTCTTTCCTTCACACCCTTAGACAGCTCTTCTGACCAGGCTGACTGTTCCCCCATAGCCAAACATCCCTGGCATCATCTCAGCAGCTAACCATTCCCCCTGCCATACCCTCCATCTTGCCAGTTGTGCTTGCCTTAAGCCATCCTCCTAGCCATCCCCTTCATGGCCCGTCCCCCAGAGAGTCTTGCTCCTGGCACCTTCTTCCTTCTCCCAAACCTCTACTGTCACTTCACCTTTCCAGCTCTCTCTTAAAGGCTGCTTGGAAACAAGAAATGCTGTCAGGGCTGTACTTGTCTCCTTCACTCTGTTCTGTTGGATTTGATATACATTTACTGGCTACTGGCAAGGAAGGTCTAGCTAGTACAGGAGGATCCACAAAGATGCTAGCCTGATGCTGTAGAAAGTGGAGATCTAGCTTTTAGGTGGATGGCTTACACCTCTCTGTGTTATCCTTCTGTTGCTGAACAGAAGGATGCCTAGAATTATCATTCCTTTTGTTTCCTTTTTAGCATGCTCAGTGGCAGAACCCTTAAGTTCAACATAGTAGACATTTCAAAACACTATGATTATATATATTTATATAGGTGGGCATTCCTTATTACTGCCTTCATTTAATGAAGGATTTAACAAAAATAATTCTTTCCCTTTTACTTCCATTCTGCCTAGTCAGGTTTCTCTGAGAAAAGGCAAAAGCAAATCTGTTAGGTGGATGCTTTAGTAGAGAAACTGGGAGCTGATGGAACTGAGTAGAAAACAGTTTGTTTATTCAGCCTAGAATGAAAGACTTATGATGCTGTCCATACCATTCCACATTTCAGAGCAATGATCTAAGTCAAGATGCTGTCTCTCCTATAAAGCCCTGAAATATAGTTGTGCAAAATAATGCAACTGAAGTAAAACAGAAACCCTAGAAGGTGAAAATTTGTGTTAAGAAACTACCAAAAGGTTCTCGCTAATACATTTAGTGATAATGATCATCTACCCCTTAAAAGATTTAACTGAATGTGTATGAACTTTTCTGCAATGTGCATAGAATTTGATTTCTTCTGGTTTTACTTCTTCTAGGGCTGTCAGAATGAGTGCACAGCTGGAGGATGTTCAGGCGAAACAGCAAAGCACATGACTGAATCTTTCAAGGTATGTTTGCTAAAAGATGAGTGTCTGAAGCATTTCAGTAGATGGTGCCAGACAGCATCTGTAACATGGTAGTGATCGTTGTGCAGGGGTTCATAGCTACTGACACACTTGTACATAGTAATTCCATAAATAATTCTGTAAATTGTGTTTGTTGAAAATTTTTTCAATGTAGAAATCAAGAATGTTACAAGAAGAACTTTATTATTGTTCCAGGTACTAGCTAAAATGTTAGTAGCAAAAATTAAAATGGTATAGGTGATTTTATTTTAAACTCTTACATTTTCCAAAAGCAATAGAAATAAAGATTGGTTTCCCCCATTAAGGTTTTTTCCAAACAAAGTCTATGTAACTATTATTTGTTAAACTTCGGCACTATGAATGGTGTTCAAAACCAGATTTTTCCATCTGGTCTCAAACTTGTAGAGCTAAGGATCTCGGGAGGTCTCCAAAGCACACCATAGCTCTGGCACATTATCAGCACTCAAAAGCAAACAGACCTGTCATAATAAGGAATACCAAGCAGCTGCCAGGAACTGACATGAAATTGAATTCCTCTTTTTTTCATTTTAATCTTATGCTTAGAACTGAGCTCAGTTAAGATACCACTCTTCCTCTGCCTCCTTCCTGAATGCAGTGCTAGTAACTAAGAGCTCATTTTAAACACTGTATGGACATAGATGTCAACTTTTAATTTTCTATTGGAATGGTAAAGCCCATCAGCATGTGCTCCTTTTGAATTTTACCTTCTATTGTCATTCCCTTGTTTTTTTTCTGCCTTTCGACTTCTTTTGCCTTTATTCCTTATGTCACACATCTGTAATTCTTTCTCCCCCTCTATTTCCCTGTTTTGCAATCTTTAAAAAGCCTCATCTATATTTTGCAGATGTTTAAAAATAGTACCCAGAAAAAGATGACCTCACATGTGCTTTTTCAGCAGTTCCCTTCCCGTTATTGTGGACTATTGTCAGCAGTACATGAGATGAAATTATAGTTATACACTTTGTAACTGTCACATTCTTCCTGATGTTTTTTGGGCAGTGTCATTGCTGTGCAGTCTTTTGAATTATGCTTAAGTAGTTATTTCCCTTTTAGTTGCCATGCTTTAGCCAGATACAGGAAATAAATGGTGCTTGCCATGTAGCAACATGCCATTCTCAGCCCTTCCCAGTTCTCTTCCTCCTTTCTTTGCATTGTATCTCTGGCAATTCTGCCCAAGAAGGAATATTTAGGATGACATTTTAGCCAGAAGGTCTGATATGGAAAGTGCTGAAAAAAACAGTTTTGAAACCTCAAGAATTCACAAGTATGGAGTGTAGAGTTTTTTCACTTTTAATAAATAGTCATGATAGATTTTCAGTAGATTCATTCAGTAAAGTGTGCTACTGTATATGAAAACAGAGAGAAGACTCCTGTGTAACTGCACTGTACTGTTTCATTCCACTCACTGACACAGTCCAGAAGAGAGACAGAGTGACAACAAACTCTGTTAGTGTTTGGGTTGTAGGTGAACTGGACATAAACTAAAGCAGACTTAAGGCTGGACATAACTGGACATAAACTAAAGCAGACTTAAGGCAGAAGCTAAAGCTCCAAATATTGGGTGTCACAAAACTGGATTTAATAGTTTTCTTTCTATTGAAACTTGTATGTCAGCCAGAATGGCAAATTATTGTAGTGGAGAGCCTGTGTGAGGGTAAAAATATATTAGCAGGTGGGACAGATGGTCATAAAGGGAATAATACTAGAAAAAACAGCTGGCTCAGGCTGACATCTACTTCGTAAGTCCATTCCTACCTTATGGCTGTTTCTGAAGATTAGCTGCAGTCACCAATAAGGGTTACATTTCTTTTTTAGTAGATATTGTACTGTGGGGGTTGTGTGTATGATAGTTATGATAGGAATACAGGTATTGATTGCAGTGTCATGCATTATAATAATTATTTGCAGTCTCTTTAACTTCATTGTCAAAATAAAAACTTAATAAATTAAGGAAAAAATGACACCAGACAATGACAAATAAAATAACCTGGTTTCATTCTAGGGAACTTCACAAACATTTCTGTGGAATACAGTGTTGGTTACAACTTCAGAAATTATAGCTAATAATATTTCAAAGGAATCAAGTTCACCCATGGGACTGACTGTGCTGAAGAAAGCTGCAATTTTGTGCCAGTAACCTAAGTAATCCAAGATTGTGGGAATGTAGAAAACAGGGTATGGTTTTGTTTTATGCTTACAGAAAACATATTGTTTAAAGTCTATGATGACCAATATTTAAATGCCAGATTAGCCCTCTAAAGACATTTCTTTTTAGAATGCAGTGCTGTGTTTTTTAGGTGGTGTGAGCTGCTTTGAATTTTACTGCAATTTCTGCCTGACTTGGAAAGATGGACTCAAAGAGTCCCTATACACCAGGAAGGAAGGAAGGAGTGAATGCTACACACAGCTTTTCTAGCAAGCAGTAAGCCCCTCTGTTAGCTGCTCTCTGGTTTTGATTCTCACGGGCTGCTTTTAAGTCAGTAGGTCAGAACAGGCACTTCGTTCATTTTAACTGCTACTGAACTACTTAATTTGACTCACATTTGCATTTAAAAATCTTATCCTGACTGGTCTCTGACTTATAAGATACTTAATGTATCCCATTTAGAGTTAACACATAACCAGAGATCTTGGGACAGATAAGAAACATGTAAGGAAATAGTGATTATGCTAGAATTTCCTGTATTGTAGAAAATGTCAAATCTCCAGGTTTTATCTACCCAGCTCCTTCCACTAGAGTGAAATCTTCCTCTCTCCCCCAACTGTTGTATACACACATATTTATTTATTTAACTAACTCGCTGTGGTTTGTGACCAGAACCTAAGAAGTTATACTTGTAGTTTTTGACTGTTGTCAGCATTGGATCTCTAGGAGGGGAGTATGAAATCGGTAGTGGAAAGTGCAGTCATCTTCTGTACCACTGAACATATTTCAGAATGTTGAGTCAAGAAATGCACAGATCTGGTTTTGCTCTTACACATGGGGTTTTTTGCATTCAGTAATACCATGAAATAGCAGGCAGTTATGTCTAAGGCACTTAAGGTTTCAGATTAAAAAATCTGGTAATTTCTTTAATGCATTCATTCTGCTTATTGTGCTGTCACAAGACAGAATGAATGTTGTCTGGATAATGTATCAGTCTGTTTCCATATGTAACTTTAATTTGGTTTCTTTTAATGTGTGTATTAGCTCTCACTTTGCATTCATAATACTTGGCTTTAATAAACTAAAGGCATCTATGTTTGCCTTTATTTTTCCTCATGTTATCAATCCATATCCAGAAAGATTATTTTAGTTTTCATGTAACCTTTTGTCATGGAATACATTTTCTCTTTGAGACTGATACATGAAACACTTTAAGAAGGTATTGCCTTTTCCTGTTGTGTTTCTCTATATTTTAATGATCTGAAGCTATGTAGAATTAGTTGAGCATCTTATTGGTGCAAAGTTCAGTTCTTTTGTTTTAATTTTTAATGGCTTATTTAGTGTACCAAATGGTGCAAAAACTTATAGGGAATACTGACTAGTCTCCTATGCCAAATAAAGCAGCTGCGATTTACAAGAGAATCTGGATTGACTTTCTAATATGAAGACTTGTGGTAGTGGAATGAAAAATGTTTAAGTGGAGCTTCTGTATCTGAATGGCTCCTTGTGTTACTCTAAATAATTGTGAGTGTTCCTGCAGTCTTGTGCAGACAGACCCAACCTTCCCAGCCTCTGAGCCAGTGGCATGTGAGCCCACAGCAGACTAGAAGCTATATAGGCAGGTTAGCGCAGTGCTGTGCTCAAACTAATAATCCCTGTTGAAATCTTGGACTTGCTAGACTGAATACAGTGCTATGCTAATATGTTTGCATGGCTTCCAGTTTGAAGCTAGCTCACATCTAGCTGTGTGAGATTCTGGATACAGTGAATTTTCTGTAATGATGTATGATTTAGTATTTGTTTCTTGCATCGCTATAATGTTTTAGAGTCCAAACTGTGAACTAGCTGGAATTGTGCTAGGTATTGTACAAATTAGAATGTAAAGATTAAACAACAAATAAAGAACCAAAATCTCTGACAGTGTTTCCACAGGATCTAAAGGTGTAATATATTTTACCTCTGGATGAAGTATGAAGAAACTGAAAATTTGTTTCCAATGCAGGCATTGTGGTTCAAACTGAGAGATTGCCAATGAAAGTTTTACAGACATTAATCTTGTTCTTGAAGGTCTCTTCATACAAATGTAATCGTTCCCTGTAACAGGACCTTTATTGCCTGTTTTAAAACATGTAGCCTTTGCATGAAATGACTGGACATGCTTGGCTCTATGCAAAACATACTGTGTTGATTTCAATTCTCTGCCTTGTTTCACATTCGTAACAAATAATATAATAGCATTAAAAATAAAGAACTTGTCTATATCTTACCCTGGAAACATTAAAATTATATATAAGGTAGTATTACAGGAGTAATTATGAAGTTAAGATGTAGGTTAGATGTTATTGCGGTATGCAGTATTTCTTGTTACATAGTGTACGTTAGAGTTGGAAAAATTCCTTTTTTCTGTGGAGAAAGATATACCTATTTTCAAAAGTTTTTCAAAGAAAAACCTGACTAATTATTGCATTTTCCATGTTTACATTAATGAAATTACTGTAATTACATTACTGTAATTCATTACCATGTATATACTAATGAAACTCAAGTGCATCTATAATTTGTATCAAATATAGTAGGATATAGGATTCCTTACTCTGAGAATTGGGAGAGGGAACAATCCATTTTGAGATATTAGGCAGTTTTAAGCTTTATTTTAGAAAACTATTTTATATGTGAGAAGGTTGTTGACAGATAAAGAATAAACAATTCTCCGACCCCATTTTTTTAAAGAAGAAAATTGTGTCTTCACCAAGTTTTCTTTCTTACCCTCCAATGCAAAGATTGAAAACATATAAAATACAAAATAGTCTAATTT